GTATGCATCAAAACAAAAACTGACAGTCTGGTAAAAAAGCAGTTACAGGGGCTGGGTGCAGTGGCTTATGCCTGTAATTGCAGTGCTTTGAAAGGCTGAGGCAGGTGGATTGTTTGAAGCCAAGAATTTGAGACCAGCCTGGGCAACATAGTGAAACCCTGCCTTTAAAAAAAAAAAAAAAAAGGTTAAAAAAAATTAGCTGGGCATGGTGATGCGTGCCTGTAGTCCTAGCTACTTGGGGAGGCTAAGGTGGGAGAATCTCTTGAGCCTAGGAGTTCAGGGCTACAGTGAGCTCCATGATTGCACCGTTGCACTCCAGCCTGGGGGATGACGGTGAGACCCTGTCTCTTAAAAAATAAAAAAGGCAGCTTGAGAATCTGGAACAGTTTTCACTGTAGTGCGGAACAGCAGTTGATATTCACATCAGTAACTCAGCATTATCTAAAAGTTAAATTGTTTTGGTGCTCACCTGGGTAAACTTCAGTTAACTGGAGAGTAGTACACTGATGTGAAACGTCTGACTTTTTGGATGATGTTGGGAAAGGAGCTGTTGAATGTTTTGCATATGCTGGGTTGATTTTGGAAATCATTAAGTTGCATATTCAAGATACACTAGAATTTGTATTCTTGTGGTTTTTGAGTAAGAGTGTATGGTGATTCTCAGTTTTCAACTTTTCTGGCCTGTTGGTTATTATTGTACGTTGTCAGTGTAAGACCGGAGTAGGATATGCATTTGTAGGAAATATGGATCCTTGGAGGCCCATTCTATCATGTGTTTTTTATTTTGAGTTAATAGTGGCCATGTGGGCTTTATAAAATAAGCATATCTAGGTGTAGTCCAATGGAAATTACAGAAATCCTTTCTTTATGGTTCTGGTTATTCCATAGATGAAAATATTTTATGTAATTTGTTGTAAGTTTTTTGTTTCTGCAGAAGATTAGTGTCAGTGGGCTGCCTCTGTCTAAAGTATCTTTGAGATTTTCTAAGATTGCTAATGAAGTTTTTCCATGTCAGTAATACTTAGCTTCTCATTTTTGTTGTTGTACAATAAAAGTGTGGCAGATGAAACGGACATGGATGTTAAGTTCAAAATGTTAGAGATAAAATTTCTAGGAGATTTGAAGCCAGTGCAAACTGAAACTATTTTCAATTACCCTTCCCTTTTTAGATAGCAAAATAGAAGTTTAAGTGTATTTGACGTATATGCAGAATTTTTGGTTCTTGTACAACTCATTATTAGGAGGACTCCAGTCCTTAAATAATACCAAGAATTTGAACTGTTCATTGCTGTGCTATAACCTTTTGAGGTTGCAGCTGTTTTGGATATCATACCTTAACTGTCTTTGATATGATGCTTGTGGATGATCATCTCTTATTTTGGGGTGGTTATCTCTGTTGTCATTTCCATGTCTTATATCCAGTGTAGTCTGCTACCTAACACTAGGTTCTCTTCATTCCAATTCCTTTCAGATGACCTGCAAAAGACAAGGCATATTTTAGCTTTCTACAAAGTGAATCACTTGAAATTGGAATGCTCAGGAAAGTTGGCTACCTGTGTTTTGACTTGCTGCTGTTTCTTAAGGGCATTCTTAGTCAACTTTTAAAACTATTTTTGTTAAAGTATAGCACAGAAGAATACATTCATCATAAATGTGCAGTTCCATGTATTAGCATAAAGGTCAAGAATATAGAACATTACCATCTCCCAAGAAGTCACCTTGTCATCCTTTACAAACCTCCCGAAGGTAACCAGTCTTCTCACTTGAGACACCATGGATTTTGCCTCCTCCTGAACCTTGGCAATATTGACATTTTGACTTGAGTAATTCTTTGTTTTTGAGGCAGTCCTTTGCATTGTAGGGTATTGAGCAGCATCCCTGGTCTCTACCCACCACATGCCAGTGGTATCCACCTCTGTTGTGACAACCAGAAATGTCTCTAGACATTGCCAAATGCTTCCCTTTGCCCCTGTTGAGAACCACTGCTCCAGGGTGATTTGTAGGGTGACTAACTGCGGAAAAACTCTTACCTCCATATCTTCAAGTTCTTTTCTTTTAGGCTAGTTAGATTCTACTTGGGGACACAAAGTATCATTAATGTAATCTTCTTGCCTGGATGGTGAAGATGCGGCAGCCAGAATTCTGTTTGCTAGGGGAAAGGTATTGGGATTGGGGGGGCAGGGGGTACTCAGTATCTAGTATATCTGTGTTTACTTAATCTTCTGTTTTTACTATTGTACTCCTGCTTTCAATGTACTTGGTGTATCCTTTAGTCCAGATACCCTTGGTTTCCCTTCCAGAGAGGGAAAAAATCCTCCAGTCTTCTGTTGGGTCTAGGGAGGGGCAGTTGTCTGCTTACTGTGCAGTGTGAGGATGTTTGTTTGCTTTAGACTTTCAGACAGTCCTGCTTATTTTATTCCTTAAGCACCCCTCACCTTCTTCCTTCCCATCCTCAGCCTCTGGTGGTTCCAGTATTGAGTCTTCTGGAAATTGTGTAGAGTAAATTGAACAGCTTAGGACTCAGTTCTCTTGGGTTTGCTAAACTCATTGATCATATGTCCATCTGATTTCAAGCTTCAAAATTTTGTTTTACTTGACAACTTTCCATCTGTTCTTTTGTCTTGAGTTTCTGCCTCAGAAACTCAGAAAAAAAAATTCTTTTTGCAACTTATATCTGACAAGAGACTTACTTCTAGAATATAAAAAGGATTTTTACAACTCAATAATAAAAAGACAAATAACCCAATTGAAAAATGGGCAAAGGATCTGAATAAACGTTTCCCCAAAGAAGATATACAAATGGTCAGTAATCACATGGAAAGATGCTCATTATCATTAGCTATCAGGGGAATGAAAATCAAAACCACTTGACACCTACTAGGATGGCTGTAATAGAAGTCAGATAATAACAAGTGTTGGTGATATGGAGAAATTGGAACCCTCATACACAACTGGTAGGAATATAAAATGGTACAACCACTTAGGATAAGACTCTGGTGGTTCTTCAGATGGTTAAACATACAGTTATCATATGACCTGGTAATTTACGTCCAAGTATTATATATACTCAAGAGAAATGAAACATATCCACACAAAAACTTGTATGTGAATGTTTATAGCAGCATTGTTCATAATTGCCAAAAGATGGAAACAATCTAAATGTCCATCAACTGATGAGTGGATGAACAAAACGTGGTATATCCATACAATGAAATGCTATTTGGCCATAGAAAGGAATGACGTATTGACACATACTACAGCGTGGATGAACCTTGAAAACATGCCAAGTCACAAAGATCATATGTGATTGCTTTTATATCCAATAGGCAAATCTATTGGACCTGCCCTAGAGCTCCCCAAATGAGTAACATCAGAGACAGAAGTAAATTACTGGTTTCATATGGCTGGAAGTGATGGAGGCATAGGTAGGTGATAGCTATAGGGTACAGGTTTCTTTTTCAGGTAATGAAAATATCCTGAAGTTGACTGGTTATGGTTGTACATATCTATGAATATACCAAACCACTGACTTTTATATACTTTAAATGGACATATTATATGGTATGTGAATTATGTCTCAATAAAACTTTTTAAAAATCCTATTGTATTACTGGGGACTTGAAAGAATGTTAAGAGTAGATACATGTCTTCAAATCCTAAAATATAAAATGTCATATTGTATGTTAGATAGTTAAATCATTTATTTCAGAATAACATAAGGGATATCAAAGATTCTGAAAAGGATTTCTGAGTTTAAGGTTAAGAAACACCAATCTAGATTAACCCTTTCATTTTATATATTAAATAAAGTATATGTAATCTGGATGGTTTTGTCTTTGAAGTCAGATGTAGGTTTGAATTCTAACCTAGCAGTTTATTAGCTGTGCCATTATGGGGGGAAGGAGAACATCTTTAACTTATTTTTCTGTGTCTGAAATAGGATTACAAACCATCTTCCTCACAAGATTTTTGAGGATTCAGAGAGCTCTCATAGTAGTAGCTACCATTTATTGACTACCACCTGTGTATGATGTTTATATTTTATATACATTCTTATTTATTCCTCAAAAAACTGTGTTTTGTTGTTCATTACATTATTATTTCTGATAGCTGCTAGAGGGGAAAACATTTGTAATCTGAAAATCTGAAATCTGAAGTGCTCCAATGAGTATTTCTTTTGAGTGTCATGGACACTCAAAAAGTTTTGGATTTTAGATATTTGGATTAGGGATATTCAACCTGTAGGCTGAGAATATGAAGCTGGCTATATATACTATATTCAACTAGAAAGAAAGCAGGATTGAAGAAGATATAATAGAAGTCTAAGTAAGGAATAGATTTTTGTAAACTTGGTAAGAACTGATTATGGCTTGAACTAAATTTGGTCTCACTGATATAAAAAGAATAAGGATATTACAGGGCAATGAATTGTTAAGCCTTAGCAGAGGATTGAAATAGGATATGTACACCTTACAGTAAGACCTTTATGTTAGAAATGAAGTGGTAATCATTTCCAAGATACACAAAAATGATGCATCTTTTTAAAAAAATTTTATTTCAGCATATTACAGGGGTACAAATGTTTAGGTTACATGTATTGCCTTTGCCCCACCCGAGTCAGAGCTTCAAGCACGTCCATCCCCCAGATGGTGCGCACCGTACCCATTAAGGGTGTATATACCCATCCCTTCCTCCCCCCTCCCATCTGCCCGACGCCCGATGAATGTTATTACTATATGTGCACTTAAGTGTTGATCAGTTAATACCAATTTGATGGTGAGTACCTGTGGTGCTTGTTTTCCCATTCTTGGGATACTTCACTTAGTAGAATGGGTTCCAGCTCTATCTAGGATAATACAAGAGGTGCATAAAAGATGCATCTTTATATTGTTTGAATTGTAGTATCTGTAGTAGGGGCCTCTTTGAGGTACTTCTGGAAACTAAAACTGTATGGTGCTATGCAAACACCTATAATACATACTTATTGTTTTCTTATTTAGTTCAAGGAAGAAATCTCTAAACGTTTCAAATCACATACTGACCAACTCGTGTTGATATTTGCTGGGAAAATTTTAAAAGATCAAGATACTTTGAGTCAGCATGGAATTCACGATGGACTTACCGTTCACCTTGTCATCAAAACACAAAACAGGTATGGTATTAGAAGACATAGAGCTTTAAACCATGAATAAATGTTTATGTTTGACTTTTTTTTTTTGAGACAGAGTCTTGCTCTGTTGCCCGGGCTAGAGTGCCATGACATCAGCCTAGCTCACAGCAACCTCAAACTCCTGGGCTCAAGCGATCCTTCTGCCTCGGCCTCCCAAGTAGCTGGGACTACAGGCATGAGCCACCATGCCCTGCTAATTTATATATACATATTTTTAGTTGTCCAGATCATTTCTTTCTATTTTTTTAGTAGAGACGGGAGTCTCGCTCTTGCTGAGGCTGGTCTCGAACTCCTGACCTTGAGCGATCCACCCGCCTCGGCCTCCCAGAGTGCTAGGATTACAGGCATGAGCCACCGAGCCTGCCACTATATTTGACTTATAGAAGTAACCAGTGTTGGCTTTAAATAGCTTTCCTTGCCCTGTCATTAAAATTTAAATGGATTAAAATTCCTTTCTTTGTTGCTGTTTATAACAGAATTTTTTAAAAAAATAAACCAATGCGATTTCATGTTAGTGCTTATGTTTGTCATATGAGCATTTAATATTTTAGAAGATTCAACAGTATTTAGTCATGTCTAAATTGTTTGAATTAGAATATGCAAATTAATGTTTTTAGCTATTTTTGTTTTAGGGAGATTTCTACACAAAAGATCATGGGTTATTTATCACCTTAGCAAACCAAAAATCAATAACCGTATCTCATTAAGTCTAAGGCACCATCAGTTTTTAAGAGAAACTTGTATTTTGTGTATCGCTAAGAAGGAATACTGCTAAATTGAATTGTTTTTTTTCTTGTCACTTAAAATTTTTATTTTCTACTTAGTGAAAGAGTTCCTTTAGATTTTTTTGGATACGGAATTTTACCATATCAGTCTTGGATACATACAAAGAAAATATAAATGAAATAAATTGCTTAAAACCTTCCTAAAACTACTTCACGGTGTCTGATTTCTTTGAATCACCTTATCACCTTTTGACTTAGTCGTCAGTGTTCATATTTTTCCATACAGTATCAAACTCTATTCTGTCAAGAGTGTTGGTGATATTGCATTTCTTAAAAGAGCACTACAATATTTTCTCAAGGATTTTCTTCCAAGCCATTGACACTCATTCTGTAAGTTTTTACGCTGGTGTTCCCCAAAAGCAAATACTTGCTTTACTGCTATAAAATTTATTCTCTCTGTTTCTGTGCTTTTCTGTACACATCAGAACGTCTTTCACTGCCAGATAATGGTCTCATTTTTCTGAAGATACTTGATGTGGTAATTAAACTCAACTTGTATGGTACAACAGTGTACTTAGTCATTCATTTGAAGTCCTAGAGAGCACATGTGTGCAGACATTACAGTTGATGCCTGGCTGTCAACAATTGTAAGACAGACCCTGATTTCAGAGATGTTAAAATGAAAAAAATGTGTGTCTTAGAATCAGCGGAAGAAACAGATTCAGAACTCTTTAACTGGTATCAGATGGAAAGGTTTTCTGATAAACTGTTTTCTTAAAGTAATAAGTACTACTCAGTTATTATTTGTGTTGATTTCTCAGCCTTCTCTTTGTGAGATCTCTCACTTTTTATTTTTTTTATTTTTAAGAATTTCAAGGGTCTGAGTAAAACTGACCCCTGTTGGCCCCTAAACATCAAGAACTAGAAAGGGGGTAGAAAAAGTTGGTTATATAGTCCAACTTTGTGGGCCTAACTGGTTGTTGTGACTTATCTCTTTTTATTAAATAATCAATATGATTGAATGTAATGAAATAGGTATACTCAAAGAGAATGGGCAGTTGCATATATATTTTGGATTTTGTAAGGTTTTACTGTGTATATTTATATTTTTTGTTAATGCTTAGTTATTTCAGGGTATTTACTTAATAATAATTTGAGTTGGTTTCAGAGTTTACCCTTTATTTCTGGGCGTCAGAATTATTTCAGAGGTTCCTTTAAAAATAATTAGCCCCACGCTTACACCGTGATTTAATTATTTTGCATAGGTCTCAGGATCATTCAGCTCAGCAAACAAATACCACTGGAAGCAGTGTTACCACATCATCAGCTCCTAATAGTAACTCCACATCTGGTTCTGCTACTAGCAACCCTTTTGGTTTAGGTAAGTGTTTTTAGTCATTTTTATAGGGATGAGAAAAAAGAAACAACTCCTTTTCTGGGTAGTTTTAGATAAAATGACAGAATTAAAACGTTACATTACTTTAACAACAAAATTTTTAAAAAAACTTTTGTAGTTTACTTCTATAATTGTAGATATTAAGGAAGTAGTTGAGGATACAGGTGTTCTGGGTTAGCTTATATTTACATTTAATAAGTGGTCAGTAATTGACACATTTCTTTTCAATAATGAAAGAGATGTATGTATACCTAATGTGATCACCACATAATTGAATCTGAGGAAGATTAGCTAATTGTTCATCATAAGAAAGCCTCCCGAATAATAATTTTCTCATTCAAAAATGAACGGATTGTTTATTTTCTAACTGTCCTGAACACACATGGAAGGACTGGGGCCTGGAAACCAGCCCAGTGGTTAAGCATCTCCTGTACCAGCCAGAAGTGCTTTTTAAATATTGGTTTTATATACTAAGGTTCTGTGCAAGATTTTGTTGAGGAAAAAAATATTCTGAAGTATTCTGAAGCTAAGAGAAGTTGAACTAGGTAGATAAATGGCTTAATGCCTCTTTTGATTCTTAAGTTGTATGACTGACCTTGAAACAGCATTACTTTTTATATGCACAGTTTTCATATATCAAGGATCATACTTTGTTCTTTAATAGTGTTTCAGTAATTCAGTTGTACTATGCCAAATATATATTGGAAGCATTTGAGGGATCGCATGGATTGGCATAAATTCACATTTGCTTTATTTTATTTTATTTTAT